TTTTGACTGCTAACCAGAAGGCTGGCGGTTCAAACCCACCAGCCACTCCTCGGAAGGAAGATGGGGCAATCTACTTCTGTAGTGATACTTCCTCGGAAACCCAAGGAGGGGTCACTATGAGTCAGATCCAACTCAACGGCACATAACAACAACAACAACAACTGCCTCGGAAACCCAAGGAGGGGTTGCTATGAGTCGGGTCTGACTCGACAGCACATAACAACAACAATAACAACAATAACAACAACACATATATGTACATAAACCAACACTCCTCAGAAGGAAGACTGGACAATCTACTTCCACAGTGATACCGCCTCAGAAATCCAAGGAGGGGTTGCTATGAGTTGGATCCAACTTGATGGCAGTGAATGAGTGAATGAGATATACTTTTAAATGTGTGCTCTGTCTTCATTTTCATTTGACTTTTATCTTCATTAGGGATTCTATTAGGTTGGGGGAAAGGAGTATCACCACATAGAATATATATTAATTTATTGGATGAGACACATAACCATAACAAATAGTAAAGAAAGATGAATCTGTTTTGCTCCTTATCATCAGGAAAATTACTAGCAATTGACAATAGGTGCACTGGATGACTAATCTCAGAATGGTTGCGGAATGTGTGTGTGTGTGTGGAGAAGAAGCCTGGTCCTACCTGGTAGGCTCAGTTCTTCTAATTCAATCACTGAGCGATTGTTGCTGTAATAGTCCTTCATCAGCTTCTGTAGGTCTTCAGGTGTTCCTGGTTTTGGTTCTGATTTTGCAAGAACATCAGTAATTTTCTTCTACGATATAAGAAGATAGATTTTAGAATGGGATCTTACTTAGGATAGATATAGGTTGATTTAAGCTGCATCCTGCTTTTGGTTGTAGTCAAGTTTGATTGTGAGTTCTAATAAATTTATTATGTAATAAACACTTCTTGGATATAACTTGCTTTGAAAAACAAACAGAAGATCTAAAAGCTTTTTGTAAGTCTTAGTCTTATGACTTCTAAGACAACCGAAATTCTTGTAGTAGTCTATATAATAGGATATTACTTTCTGTGAAAAGTTAAGAAATCTTGTTGATATGAAAAAGTTGCTCAAAGGTTTCTTTAAGGCCTAGATAATTTGTGATTCTCGGAGAGTGAATTTTTAGAATTTCTTATCCAGTCTTGTTTTTGAGTGGCTAAGTCTCAGCTCGGATTTCTAGGATTAGAGTAAAATTTGTAGGAATAATCTGAGCACAGAAGCCCACTGAAAAGGGGCATTAGACCCCTGTTTCTCAACTCTTGGAAAACTGACAGTCTTAAAGTGGTCTATGGAAAGTAGGGCAGATATTGCAGGAAACATTTTCAACATCTATTTTGATTTTGTCTCATTTGTGTAGCACTTAATGAATGCCTGCAATGTATGAACATACAATTGTTCATTTAATTTTCATCATAAATTTCCTTTCTTGCTTCCTTCTAATACTTCACCAAAGATCCAGAAGGAGCTATTCCCCTCTCTCCTCCCCCCAACATTTTTCCTTCCTTCCACAGTATCCTCATTTCTATACCACTGCCAAGAATGGTTAAGGTTCTGTCAAATGAGTTAACTTTCAAAAACATGTCATCAGTGGGCACATTTTAGTGTGACCTCAGCCAAGGCTAAACTATCTAGCGAGAGTTCTGACCTCGAGCCACCAAAAAGTTAACACTCCTGAAGGCTATTAGTGTACAAACTATCAAAGAGAAGTTTAAGTCACTTCTTTAAGGACGTGCCAAACCTCAGCCAATTTGGCATCGCTCATCTTCCTATTTGGCCATTTGCGAGAAAAGAAAACATATGCACATATACTCTTAGTTTTCTAAAAGCTTGCTGTTAGGTAATTGGGTTGAGTCCATCTTCTTTCCTCTAACCCCAATCATATTTCCTCTGCTGACTTCAGCAGTAGACCTTTCTTGGCAGGGAGAGAATTACACTGCTGTTTTCACAACTGTGGTAGAAGGTCAAAGCCAGCCATTCTTTCTCCAAGGCTGAGACAAATGGAAGTTTGCATAAGAGCAACAGAGTCTACCCTACGCTCACAGGCAAGTTTGAAAAGGGAAGGGGAGCATTTTGCCTGAAATTATAATTCCAAATTAGAGTCAGAAATGCCTTATGCTTGTACTACCTTCATTTCACTACCCAAATGTATAAGGTCTTAAAGACTGGAATGGGTAGGAAAGGAAGATTGGTAAATTTCTTTTCTTGGAATCTAACACATAATGGTTGCACTCCAGCTCATCCAGAGTCAGAGGAGCCAGCACATAGGAGAGCTCTGGGTCCCTTCTAGAATTAGAAACCCATGTCTGACTTTTAACCACAGTGAAAACACAGGATGGGTAACAGAGGTGTTTGGTGCTCCATGAGACTGAAATAGGAGTCAGAAAAAATTTATCTTTAGCTCCTACAGAAACAGTTATTGCTAGTGACCTTAGGAAAGTCACCAAAACTCTCTGAACCTTACAATTACTGCCTTTCTAAAGTGAAGATTAGAATAATTGCCTTCTCAGAGTACAATATAGACACATGGACACATGTGATGGAAATCAAGTGGGGCTGCATTTTGCAAGGAATTATTAATATTACCTTTTTCCTCCTCCTGGTCTTTTTCACCTCCTCTTTCATTTCCTTTGGTTGTATCAAGAAACATTCTTTAGGCTATAAAGAAATACAAATAAGAAAAATTTCATATTAGTGGGATGTGATATCAACTAATGGTAAAAATTCCTAAGTGCCTTTTGCCATGCATGTGCTCTTCAGAGTCTCTTGATAACATCAAAAGACAAAGAGATGATGAGAAACCCACTGTAGACTATTATGCAGGGAATGGGCTGAGAAGGAGCTCAAGTGGTACAGTGGTTAAAGGATTGGGCTGTTAACCAAAGTTCAGCTGTTCAAACCCACCAGCCACTCCGTGGGAGAAAGAAGAGGCATCCTGCTTCCGTAGACATTTACAGCTTTGGAAACCCTATGGGGTAGTTCTACTCTGTCCTATAGGATCACTATGAGTTGAAATCAACTGGATGAGAGTGGGTGGAGGCACTGAGAGAATGTGAGGAAGTCAGAAAGTACCGATGATTTAAGACTGGTAAATTTTTGAACAAAGGTCAAAATATGTAAGTGTGTGAGTGCGTGCATATGTGCATTTGGGGTGGTGGTACAGGGTATTCAAGATTGAAGACAGTGGGTAAATTTATAAAATATATGCAAAAATAGATGTAATTAAGATAAAGATGTGGTAAATCAGTCTTTGACAGAGATTGGAGTTTGACATGAATACCTTTGTGTGATCCTGCATTTCATGTCACTTTATTTATTTATTTATTTTATATGATCCATTCTTTCCCTCTTTTCAATAAGCATGGACAATCAAGTAGGATATATTTACTTATATTTTTGTAAAACCAGCCTCATCTAAAATGACTACAAAGTGAATGTTTTTGCTAATGGTCTGGGTCCATAGCACCCTGAAAAATTTATTTTGCCTGTTGCTTTGACCTCTGAGTACCCTATATAGTTTAGTGCTGTTTTTACCCTAAGTTTTTTTTTTTTTTTTTAATGTAGAAAAACAGGAAATTTGGACTAAGACCTTGACTTATAAAATAGAATGCCTCAGATTCCATATTTATTAATCATAGGCAGGAATATAAAATGTTTCCTGTCCCGGACCTTCTATGCAACATCTTCAAACAAGTTGCCAAGTATGATATAAATTGTAAATGAAAACATTCTGAGTTTTCCCTTGATTAAGTTTCCATTTCAAGTAGAGAGTATTCAGCTTAAGCTGGTGAGCTACTAACCAAAGCAATCTTGTCTCTACTGGCTCTATTTAAAATGATTACAGATGAATCTTTGTACAAAGCTTGCAGACAGCCTACAGATTAAGAACAACTATGGCCTGAAGCCAGAGAGAGACAGAACACTACGTAATTTCTTCAAGACATGGGGCCAGGACCAGCAGTTTCTAGACCATGTATCAATTGAAGAGAAGTAGATTCTAAAGGTTCAGGATTAAAGTAACATGGGAATCTTGAACTTTTAGGCTCCTCTCAATTAAAACAAAAAACTTGCAAAGAACATTTGCATCATATCTAAAGAAAAGAAAGATATTTTGACCTTATTTCTAACTTAGAAAGTTAAGCTGCCTTTTGGACTTGGATATGCCAATTTGATGCTGGTATATGGCAATTAGAAAATGGGCCAAGGCCACTAATATGTCACAGAAACTGCCAGATAGTCATAAGAGTCCAATTACAAACAAGACCAACATTCAGCTCATGTTCCTGAGGCAAAGGCCTGGATACAATTAGTAGATCCCCTAAGACAAACTGCAGTATCTCATCACCAGGATCAAGGTCTTGGGAAAGAGATTAAGAAATCTTTTCTACTTTCTTATTTACCAAGTGGGATTGCTCTCTAGGAGTATATTCAACTTGCTGGGTTATATTTATGTTAGGTTTACAAAGCCAATTAACATTACACAAATTAAATCTCAAAATGAGCTGTTACAAGGACATGAACTCTTCAATTCTGGAAGAAAAATAAAAATGCGATTCTGAATCATACACAAGAAAAAGAAACATGCTTAATTAACTGCTTTAGTCAAGATATTGTATCTGGTTAGGTTCAAATTCTTAGACCATCCTGATGGAACCAGTTAATTTATCTCATTGGAGTAGGGTGCTAATGAAGAAGCAGAGTTCACGGGGTCAATTTTCATGGAGGTGAGATGACTTTGCAGAGAAATCCAAATCCACAATATTGAAAATTCCTGAACTGAGCTGCTTTATGAATGCCGATCATTAATTACCCTCAGAGAGACTGGGTAAGAAGATGAAGATGACTCAGCAGAGGGACTAAGCACTTCTGGAAACTAATTTCAATGCTACCTAACCTTGACAGTTGATAACTAATGTTGTCTCTTTATATGAAATGTGGCAATTTTAAGTATGCTGTTTGAAGAATCAAACTTTCCTCAAAATATATGAAAAAATAAAGCTTTCAAATGAAGTGACTGGGGCATGTTCTCAATTCTTTAAAGTATCAAAAATTATACCTTTTAAGGATGATTCTCTTGGCTAAATGTGGCAAATTAATCTCAAAATCTCACTAAACTGAAAAATAAAGAAAATTGAAAAGGTATAAATCTATAAGGACCAAGAAACTAAGAAAGAGTACAACAGGAGAGGAGATCTTTAATAACTTTTTGGAAAATGAAAAATGCTTAAAAGTGGATGACTTAGCAGAGAGAGAAAGCTAGCAGCTGGGTTTCTGGAGAGGTAGAAGCTAACAATAAATGAGTTTATTTGACTGGCTAGACTCTGAAAAGATTCTGTACTTAGAGGCACAAGTTACTATAGTCAGTGAAAGACTGAAAAGAAAATGATTCACTGAAAGTTTACATATAGAATAATTAGCCCCCACACTGGACTGTATCTTCTGCCTAGGCAGCTAGGCAACTATTCCATTACTACTTCCTCTCACCTTGCCCTTCTTGGCAGCAAAATGAAAGTTTATTGTCTGGGGAGACTAAGAGGACCAAGATATCTGGCACAGTGGAGACAGGTCAAAAATTGAAGCTCATCTTCATTTCCTATCTTTGTTCCAGAATGTCTGGAGCCAGACATATACTGTAGGGAAGAGACTAGCGAATTCTTCTCTGGAAAAATAGAATAGCCTAAGAGAAATTCTACAAGAGATTGAAATTTGTAGGTTCCGTATTAAAAACCCAGTTTATTATCTTATCATCCTCCCATGAAGTCCACTAATTAACAAGCCCCATACATGCACAACATCTTTCCATCAACTTTTTAGTGTATTTTTAAGATGAATAGACAGCTAAAGTTCATGAGACATCTAAGGAAGTATCTAGCATGGGAGAAAAAGTTTACAGCAAGCAAGCAAACAAAAAGAACACTGAGAAAACTGGGAAAGTACTTCAAAGCAATTATAATTAATATCCTCAGGGAGATAACGGAAGATTTTGCAGCCATGAAAGAACAGAATGACTATATATATTCTTTCAGAAAACATTTAAACACTAAAATAAGAGAGTTTGAATATAAAATGTAAGAGAAAGACTTGAAGATAAAGAAAATCTCCCAAACAGAAGAACAAAAATAAAGAGAAGAAAATGAGAAAAAACAAGTAAGAAGAGAATCAGCCCAAGAGAGTCAATATTTTAATAATAGAAAAATAGGTCAGATAAGACAGTAAGGGGAAGTAATGATCAAAGGAAAAAAAAAAAAAAAAACATGAAAAACTTTCCAGAACACAAAGCTCCAAATTGAAAGCCCACCAGGTATCCAGTACAATGAATAAGATTAAAAAAAATTACACCAAGATGTATCACTGTGAAATTTCAGAATATGTGGATAAAGAAAAGAATTTAAAAATTTCCCAGAAAACAAAAACCTAACACCAAATAACATAAACAACATGAAGGATCAGGAAAAAGAATGTCATCACACTTCTCAACAGCAAAAATGAATTCTAGAATTATGAAAAATTAACAAAATTATGAAAAAAATTGCTAATTAGACTTTTATACCCAGCCAAACTACTAATCAAGTGTAAGAGGAGAACAAAGACATTTTCATATATTTAAGGTGTTAAAAAATTTACTTCCTGCCCACAAATACTGAAAGCTGTGATACAATAAAATAAGGAGCTAAACCAAGAAAGAAGAAGACGGGATTCAGCAAACATGGAGTCCAACTCAGGAGAACTGAAGGGGCATTTCAGGATGATAGTTAAGAGAAATCTCAATTTTTTAGCAGGCCTAGAGAATAACCAATTCAGAAGGGAATAAAAGTATGGAGGTCTATAAGGAAGAAAAAAAATACTTTATGTATTTGAGCATCTGGAGAATATTATTCATGAGCATGTAAAAGAGAAGTGAGAACATATGGAAACAATTATCAATAGGAACACAGCAAGCCAGGCAAATGAAGAAATGAGACAATTACTAATGCCATGAAAATAAAGAGTTGTATGAGAAAAGACGGTTATAACTATGGGAAGGAAGTGGGAGGGGAGCTGTTGCATTGTGGTAAACTGTGGTCAATGACATGAGACAAAGTATATGTGAACTGCTGTATGGAAAGTGAATTTGCTCTGTTAATCTTCACCCAAATCACAATAAAAAAAAAAAAAAAAAAGATGGTTATAGCTTCTCTTTTACTAGGCATTGAACAATATTCCCATGGTCAGAGTGATGTAATAATGACAACTGTTTTAACCAAAAAGGTGTTGGCAGAGGAGGCAGAGGTTGGAGAGGTATAGGGGATAAATGGGAGAGCTATGTTTTCATATGCCATGTCAGGAAGCTAATAGATTATGACAGAAATAGATAAACCAAGAAATAGCAATACAAACTATAAGGTGGTAAATAAGGAAAGCAGCTAAAAAAGCTGAGGGTGGTTATAGCTGAGGAAACAAGTAGGATGGGGATGGGGATGAAAAGGGGACTGCTGTTTTTTCATTAATACTTTTGACAGTGCCTGTTTAAAAAATGATGTATAGCTATTACTTTGGTAAAAATAATAATAAAAAAAATTTAAATGGCCATTTTATAACAAAGTGAACATGTTCATTGTAAAACTGAGAATAATTCAGAAATAGCTTTTTAATTTCTTTTTTTACTTGGCCAAAGGTTA